GGACTTGATGAGCGCCTTTCAAACCACAGGGGAAGTCAACTGTCCCCAGTGTGGAAGACAGAGGGGGAAGGGTCAAGACTGTGACTATGCGGGGGGGGGGGAGGTTTTCTGTTTGCACCCAAGACCACCGTGATTCTTCACCGTGTGTGTGTTCCACCAGAGACAAAAATAAAACATTGCCAGATGCCACATGGCGTCTTCCTGTTCTGTTTCGTTTCTGTTTGACAGACTTCGGACACTTTCCCTGTATGCTCCTTTGACGTGTTAAAAGTCTCGCCTACTTTTAACGTCTAAAAAGGCAAGTGTGACTTCAGTCCAGGGAGCATATCTTCCGGGGTGGCAGGGGAAAACCCTTTCTCTGTGATGTGCTTCCCCCCAGCTGACTGAATTAATGATCTCCGTTTGACAGCCTCCTAACCTGTTTTCTTCGACACCAGTAACTTGTTAAACCTCCAGTTGACATCACAAACTAGAGGAAATCTACACGCCTGTGCTTCAGAATGAGGCAGCAGGACTTCCGGTGAGGTGGAGCCGCCCTTTGACCCTGTAAACAAGCAGGCTTGTGGATCCAGCTCTTCTAATCCAGTAGAAATACTGCTCTCCTCTCCCAGACAGTTTCACTGGCAAATACTCCTCACTGGTTAACTCTGCCTGCAGATCACGCTGGAACATTTCTGTGGTGAAATGTCTGCTGCACAACCTGTACTTATTCACTTGTACATCTCAGTACATTAGTCATCACAGGGACTAGTGAGCAGGAAGGGCCTCTTCACATCTCAGTACATTAGTCAGTACAGGGACTAGTGAGCAGGAAGGGCCACTTCACATCTCAGTACATTAGTCAGTACAGGGACTAGTGAGCAGGAAGGGCCGTTTCATGTCACAATTTGTGAAAACTCTGTCACACGTCGACCTGCAGTACTTTCACAAAGCTCCCGATTTTGTGCTGGATTTGGAATTGTCGATAACATCGCGTTATTTTGTCATCGAGATTTAATAAAAGGCCTGAGAAAATCGGGACTGCAGCTCCCCTTTAAGCATCTTTAGAATCCGTACAAAGACTCCTGAAACTAAGAATGATTTTTTTTTGTGACGCTATTTTATATGAGAAAATATTGAAAATAAAATCCATACGTCCATTTTCTAACGGCCTTATCCCAATTCATGGTTGCGAAGCCTATCCCAGCAGGCAAATGGCACAAGGCAGGATACACCTCGGACAGGACGCCAGTCCATCACAGGGCAGACACACAGACAATGTAAGAAGCAGCATTTTCTAATGCTGCTTTCTAATTTCTGAAAATGTAAGAAGCAGCAGTTTCTGATGGTGTTTAAATGCCTGTACAGATTCGTTGTATAAAAAGTGGATTTCTAAGGTCTGGAGGTTCTTGTATCAAGAATGTAACAACAGAAGCTGAGAGTCCTGGTCACGATCTGAGGATCTCAGCCACACGTTTACTGAAAGAAGACGGGACACCGGCTTCAACCACAAGCGTGGGCGGCTTGTTCCCCACCCCCACCACCCTTTGTGTAAAGCACAGCCTTCTGGCCGACTGGAGGATCTCGCCCGGCTGTGCTGTGAGAGAAGCCAGGGTACCGGCTTCAACCACAAGCGTGGGCAGCTTGTTCCACACCCCCACCACCCTCTGTGTAAAGCACAGCCTCCTGTCCAGACTGGAGGGTCTGATCCAGCCAGTTTGTAAAGGAAGCAAGGGGATTGGCTTCAACCACAAGCGTGGGTGGCTTGTTCCCCACCTCCGCCACCCTTTGTGTAAAGCACAGCCTCCTGCCCAGACTGGAGGATCTCGCCTGGCTCTGGTTGTGAGAGTACCAGCTTCGACCACAAGGCCGGGTGGCTTGTTCCCCACCCCCGCCACCTCTGTGTAAAGCACAGCCCCGTGCCCAGACTGGAGGATCTCGCCTGGCTGTGCTGTGAGAGTACCAGCTTCGACCACAAGGCTGGGCGGCCTGTTCCCCACCCCCACCACCCTTCATGTAAAGCACAGCCTCCTGCCCAGACTGGAGGATCTCGCCTGGCTCTGGTTGTGAGAGTACCAGCTTCAACCACAAGGCTGGGCGGCTTGTTCCCCACCCCCACCACCCTTTGTGTAAGGCAGAGCCTCCTGCCCAGACTGCAGGATCTCTCCCGGCTGTGCTGTGAGAGGACCAGCTTCGACCACAAGGCCGGGCGGCCTGTTCCCCACCCCCGCCACCCTCTGTGTAAAGCATCTCCCACCACAAGAACTGCGCCCGCCTCCCCCCGGGCCCCCTCACCTTGGAAGTCCGTGTTGTTGAGGCCCTTGATGGCCTCCATGGCGTCCTCGGCCCGCTCCATGTGCACGAAGGCGTAGTCCTTGACGATGTCGCACTCCGCCACGGGGCCGTACTCCTCGAACTTGGCCCGCAGCTCCTGGTTGGTGCAGCCGCTGCCGATGTTGCCCACGTGCAGCTTGGTGGAGGGCCGGGCCTTGCCCCGGCTGAACTCCACGTTCATGGGCTGCCCGTTGAGCTCGTAGTGGTGCAGGCTGCGGATGGCCTCGTCGGCCTGCGCCTTGCTGTCCATCAGCACGAAGCCGTAGTTCTTCACGATGTCGCACTCCGAGATCTTGCCGTACTGGGAGAAGAGGGCGCGCAGCTCCTCGGCCGTGGTGTCGGGCGACAGGTTGCCCACGAAGAGCTTCACCATGGCGGCGGTGGCTTCGTCTTCGGCGCTGCGGGGGAGGATGCACCCGCCGGTGAGCTCGGGGGCCCGACACCGGCTTGACCGCACGGTCACGCGCATCGGGGGGGGGAAACAAAAACGGGGTAGGGCACACCCGACTGGGGAACCGGAGGGACGTCTTTACCCCAAGAGTTGTGGGAGCAGGCAACATGCTGCCCGGCTATGCCGATCAAGCTGAAACCCTGGATTCCTTCCAGGAAATATCTGGAGATCCCCCCCCCCCCACCAAGATCAACGAGCTACTAACTATTGGGGCGGTGCAGCGGCTCTGCGCCTGTGGCTGGGAGGTTGCCGGTTCGAATCCCGCGGCCGGCAGAGGAATCCTACTCCATTGGGGCCCCCGAGCCAGGCCCTTGACACCCCAGCTGCTCCGGGGGCGCCGTATAAACCCCAGGTTCTCTCTCCCTTATCTTTGGAAGACAAATTCCTAATGCAAGAAATTGTAGATGGCTAATAAAGATCTGAACTACCCAGCAGGTTGAACGGCCCCCTTCATGTCTGTCTCTTACATGCTCACGAATTCCTGTAGTCCAGAGGAGACCACCCCCAAACATGGGTGTGTCCGGTATACTGGCCCTCCCCTTTGTGGGTGGACCGGTTGTCGACCACGCCCAGTCTATGGGTGTGGCCCGCACACAGCCACGCCCCCTCTGCGCACCGCTCATCATGAGCATGAACTCGGTCAGCTCTTCCTGTTTGATCGGGCCAGCAAGCCCGAGACGAGGCTACACGAACTCCTGCCAGCTGAAGTTTCTACGAATACAAACTTGAAACCTCGGAGTCAGTTGGTTTTGACACTTTAAATGGAACAAGCCAGCAGATCAATGAAGTTATCCGTCAGCACTGGACGGGCAGAGCACAACTGCAAGGAAAACCTGTAGAGACTCAGTTCTTGCAGGACCAGGGCTGGGAACCTCGGAGGCAGACAGCACCACACATTAATTAAACATTGCCGGTGTGCAGGTTTGCTATTACGAGTTTAATGATGCTTCTAGCTTATTTTCTTGAACTCTGGTCTGGGTTGGTGTACAGAGATGCCGTCCCATACCCCACCTGTCCCGGGTTTGACTGCAGACTGCACTCTTTCTGTGTCTTTCTGTCTTTCTGCCCCTTACCTCTCGGAGAAATGCCGCTGGGTTAACTGGCGTCTCGTACCTGTCCCAGCGAGCCTGTGTTTTGGACTGGTGCCCTGAGCGTAATGCATACCCTCACCTCCCAGTGACCCCTGTGTTGCTCTGACCCAAACACAGAAATAACTAAATAACTCAGATCCACTGCTGTGAATTGTGTTTTCTTCCAAATGCACGCCAAACTGTCTTCTTATCTCTTATCCACAACATTATTTCTAGTTAAATCGGGGTTTTGTGTGTGTGTGTGCCGAGAACGATCATTAACTCTAGTGGAAATCTCTACCTTTCTACCGTGACACAATACTGGCTTCACCGCCGCCGAAAACTCGCGTCTGAGCGCCGCTCCATGAGACTACCGACGATGTTGCATCGGCCCCGTGATCCAATACATCACGAAAAGTGCCCTTTTGAAACAAGAACTCCCTTGACACGGGTTCGAGCCGTTTTTCAGATAACACGGCGACTGGAACTACACTACCCATCACCTCCTTATTCCGCACCGGATGTGACGTCGCCATCGAAATGATTGTCCCCCCCCAAAAAACAGCCCCTGTACCTAATTTTCAAGTTACAGCCACCAGCTTGGAAGGGGGGGAGGCGCTGGGTGTCGCTTGGACAAGCTCCGGGCTGGTTCGTCGGCTCGTAAAGACGACAGTTCCGCGACAACAAAGGCCGGTTTGGCGGCGCGGAAACCGCGATCTTCTCGCACACGTAGCTCAACGTATCGACTAAAAACGACCCCTGATGGAGCCAGATCCGTCTTTCAAAGGCGAATTCCCCCCACCACACACACATTTCAGGCGACTACGCTGCCCCAGGAGAGAGAGCACACATCAGACACCGCCGGGGAGAGAGAGAGAGGGAGGCACTAGGCCCCGGCCGGGTAAAGACAAGTCCAACTCACCGCTTCCCTGCCACAAAAGCGGCCGGTGTGCAAAATACGAGCCCTCACCGTCTCCACCTGTCTCTCTGCCTCGAAGCTGCACGGCGCGAATCGACCATCTTACACGTTTTTCACCAGCTGGCGCTCGCCGTGAAGCACGCATGCCTCCCGCTAAATAAAGCCCCTTCGACTCCCACCACCCCCTTTTTTTTTTTACCATCGGCAGTCACGCAATCGGTAAATAAAGCATGACGAAACGGCGTCAGCTTGCTAACCGCCGCTGCGATATTTAGATAAAAGGCGGAAATTTACGTTCGCCGTGCAGCGATGTTCCGAATCCATTTTCCCCCCTTTGTCAACAGCAATCTACGTGGCTAAAAGGAGGATCGGTTACGTGCTTTTGCTCTCTTCCTCGAAATCCCCAACGATAAAATCATAAATTCGCGTACCTTAATCAATTGTTTTGTCGCGGACTTACCGGATAAGACCTCAGCAACTGGCACACTGAACTGGCAAATGGCCTCGCTCCGGGAGCTCGCCGGCAAGGGCACTTCCGGTTCCGCCCGTCGGCGAGGTTCACACCGTCCCCATTGGCTGCCGCTGGGCGATACCGGGACGTCAAAGGCTGGAGGCGTTGTCAATCAAGGCCCCGTTTCCGGCGTCTGAATGAGACGGACTTGTTTTTTTAGCCCACTGCTTCCAGGGCCCGGAAGTCAGTCGTTTAAAGAGAGGAGAAAAAAAAGGGGAAAGGGGCATATTATTCCAAAGTAAACATAAAGGTCAATGCTCAGAAAAGAGGCATTACATAACAAGGGGACCGGATCCTGCCTCCATAAGAATCCCCAGTCTAAAATGTTTTGATTGTACGTTGAAATATACTTGGGCTGCATTGTGGCTCAATTGCTTAGCATTGCTGTCTTGCAACACTGGGGCCCTGTGCTCAGTTCACGAATCCTAGCTGTCTGTGTGGAGTTTGCATGTTCCCCCATGTTTGTGTGGGTTTCCTCCCACAGTCCAGACACACGTTCTTGGTGAACTGGTTTCTGGGGAAAAGTGGCCCTGGTGTGCGTGTGTGTTCATGTCTGTAGGCACCCTGCAATAGACTGGCATCCCACCTATCCCACCTAAAGAGTGTACCCTGCCCTGGGCCTGTTGCTCCTCAGGACGGGCTCTGTCTTCCCTGTGAACCTTTACAGCATTAAAGCAACTTAAAAAAATGGATTGATTTAAATCTACCGCATTTTACTCTGGTATAAATCTGGAGAAAAAAAAAAGACTGCAACTATCTTTATTATGAGACTATTGCTTTTACAGTCATAAAAATGAGTCTGGAATACTGGATTCTACAGACTGTGATTTTATTGAACTCCCCCTGATTAAAGACACCGGCTAAATTAATTTATTACACTTTTTAAAATGAAAATGCTAGCTAATTTCCAACTATTCTGGGTCACCTTGCAAGTCTCAAAGCGATAAATACTTGTTAAACCTGAATGATAAATGTGTTAAAGCTTTCTTTACCGATTGATCTAGCCAGCAGCAGTATCACCCTGCAGCTCACTGCTGGAGCTCAGCAGGTGTGAGCCTGGCCAGTACCTGGAGGGGGAGACTCCTGGGAAAGCTGAGGCTGCTGCTGGAAGAGGTGTTAGTGGGGCCAGTAGGGGGTGCTCACCCTGCGGTCTGTGTGGGTCCTAATGCCCCAGTATAGCAATGGGGATGCTATACTGTAAAAAGTCACCTTCCTTCGGATGAGATGTAAAACTGAGGTCCTGACTCTCTGTGGTCATTAAAAGGCGTGTCTTGAAAATAGTAGGTGTCCTGGCTAAATTTCCCCCTGGCCTTTACCCATCATGGCCTCCTAATAACCTCCACCTCTGAACTGGCTTGATCAATGGAATGGTGGTGGCGAGTTCCTGTTACCCTTAAAGTGCCTTGAGAGGAGTGTCCAGAAATGTGCTATATTATTATCATTTTTATAAAAGCTGTTTTCAGAGGTCTATTGACTTCTCTACCAAGTTATCTATCAATTCATTCCTGTTTTCCAAGAACACCATGGGACCTCATAAGAAATATTTTAATATGGCAGTGCAGGAGTCAGCATTGCTGCCTCGCAGTAGTGGGGCCCTGGGTTCATTTCCTGGGCTGGTATCTGTGAGGAGTTTGCATGTTCTTCTCAGATTGGGGGAAAACTGCTCCTGTTGCGAATGTGTGTCTATCCTGTGATGGACTGGCATCCTGTCCGAGGTGTATCCTGCCTTGTGCCATTTACCTGCTGGGATAGGCTCCGACTCCCTCCCCCCCCCGCAACCCCGAATTGAGATAAGGCCGTTTGAAAATGGATGGATGGATTTTTAAAATATTTTCTCACATAAAACAGCTTCACAAAATAATTCATTTTGAGTTTCAGTGCTTTGAAATAATACCACAGAGACAAAATTTCAATGTAGGATGTGTAATTCAGTAAGATGAGAGAATTGGTCAAGGGTCTGAATACTTTTGTCCTAACTAAGACTGGTAGGTCTCTGTTAAACAAACTTTCAGAAATTTGTAAAAATTCCTAACCAGAAACTGGCTTTAAAAACAAAACTATAAAATTGCAGAAAAACATCGTCTTGCAAACGATCCCAGAATGCCCCAGGCAGATTCCTGCATCCCTCTCCAGCTGAAACGACAATGAATACAATGCAAACAAGAGGAAGATTTAGCTTTTTTTTATTGAGGCAAAGAAATGACATTTAAAAGGCATTTTTATTGTTTCTGGAATTAAAACAATGTCACATGCACAAGTCGGGTGTGTTCTCGAAAAAAGGGAAGGAAATCGCTATCTTTTTTCGGTGCAGTTTTCCCAGTAAGATCAAGTGGCACAATGCGCAACTTTCATCTTCCAAATCGTCCGCCGAGGGCAGAAATGACAAAGCCAGGGTGGCGGAAGTTCAGTTTTCACTCCAGTCTCTGAATCCGGGGTCAGGACAACAACTGGCAAACGGAGGATCTTACTCCACATTCAAACAGGAAATAAAGCCGAGTATCAGCAGATGCACCCTTGGCCAGAAATATTTAGCCTTGATCGAATTCTAGACCGCCTGTCATCAGAAAACGACTTCTTCCTGGCAAGGAAATGGGAAAACATCTGTCTGGGAATCCACCTGGCTCCACGCGGGATGCCAGTCCAAAGCAGGGCTCACACAGGGATAATCTGGAGATGCCAATTAAATACCACAGCCCGACTCTGGAAGGTAGGAAGAAACCAGAGCCCTCTCGCAAAAGCCAAGGGAAAGTGAGACATGGGGAAAAGGCACATAGAAGACACCTATAACCCCATCCTAAGGATCGGGAAAAATTAACTGGGTCTTTCCCATATTGTTTCCAGAGGTTTTCCAGACACTAATCATAAAAATAATTGCTTATACTTATATAGCACCTTTCTGGATCCTCCCACTTAGAGCTCTTTCCAGGTCATGGGGATCCCCTCCACCACCAGCAGTGTGCAGCCCCACCTGGATGAGGCACCAATCCGCTCCCCACACACCAGCTCTCAGTGGGGAGGAGAGCAGGGTAATGAAGCCAATTGATAGATGGGGATTATCTGGAGGCCCATTATTAGGATTGATAAAGGCCGATGGGAAATTTGGCCAGGACGCCGGGGTAACACCCCTACTCTTTTTGAGAAACGCCCTGGGGTTTTTAATGACCACAGAGAGTCAGGACCTCGGTTTTACGTCTCATCCGAAGGACGGCGCCTGTTTACAGTCACTATACTGGGGCATTAGGACCCACACAGACTGCAGGGTCACTGCCCTCGATTTACTCCTTAAATGTGAACTTGGTGACACGATTCACACCTCACACCTGAAGAAGGCTCCACAGCCGAAATGCCGTGTTTTTTCTCTCTTCTCTTTTCAGCCTGTAATAAACCTACTGCTTGTTCCTTAGCAGCCTACGCAGGCTGACGCAGCTCCCCACCTGAACCCCTTTGTTTAGACACCTGCCGTTTTTCGCTGTTGTCGAGTCGGCGGCCTGGCGCGGGCAGATGGGAGAGAGAGACTCCTCTGAAAGAGAGGAGGGAATCCTGCAGTTTTCCGCACTCTTAACAAGCCGCGAGACAAGTCCCAAGACTGCTTCCGCTGGATCGCCTCACTTAAAAAAGAGGGGCACAGGCCATGAAGGCAGCTAATCTGTTTGCTTTCTTTACCAGATCCGGCGAAGAAGAAGAAAAAGCAGGGGTAGAATGATCCCAATCCATCCGGAACCGCATGGAATCAACATCCTGGTTCAACGCAAGTTTTGGTTTGCCCACGCTACAGGCTTCTGTTTTGCAAGGAGATTCAAAATGGTGCACACCCAAGAGACCTTCGTTACAACCAGCAGGGGGGGGCAGCAAAAGACAATCGTGGCCTTGGGTTCCAGATGGGCTCTGGCTGCGATACGCAGATGAGTGCTCTTTTGTGCGCTCTTAGAGAGGAGCCGTCTTGGACGCATCCAAGTGTCGATGAGGCTTGGAAGGGTTCTTCGGAAAACCCCTCTCGAGATTGGACCTCTCGCCGACGGAAGATGCCTCAATTCCCCTTCGGACCGACACGGATTCGGGGGATGAACGGCAATGCGCTGCCTTCACACGGAAATCCTGATGGGCTAGCCCCATCCCAGCATGCAGCCTGCATGCTGAAACCTCCTGCAAACGGCACAGGAGTCAATCTTACCTGAGTGGCGCCTCCCCTCCCAACACTTCCGGTTGAACTGGGGGAGACCCGCGCCTACAGATCCGCTCAACTTACCTCCAGTTTTGCCGGCTGTCGGAGACGCGGGGTGGGCTCAGGTGATGACGTGCGAAGGGAAATTCACTCCTGGAGGGGACCCCCACGCATGGGGCGGTAGCCCGAGATCGAGCCTAGCGACCTTCGTCCCCGTCTTCCATGATTCCAGCTCAGAAGCGCTCCAGGCTTTGCAGCGTTCGGTGCCTCGGAGATAAGTTTGGTTTGGGTTTTTTTTCGGGCCATGCAAACAGGGAGGAGAAAATCGATCTTTTTAATAGATTAGCCCTCCCCACCCCCGCCCCCCCCACGTGTGACGACGGGCATTTTTTTTTTTAAACAGCTCGTCGGAGGCGTCGCTGGGATGTGCTGCCAAGTCGGGGCGAGCACGAGTTTGCGTCATTGGAGGATGGAGTCATTAAGCAATTTAAGAGAAATCAAGGGACTGACAGCGACGCAGCTCAGTGCGGGACAAAGAGGGGATTCATGATGACGGGAGACGCTAAAATTCACTTTTCTCGGCACGCCGCAGGCTGCGCTGAAATAAACCTGCCAATATTTGAAAATGAGAAAAATCGCCCCTTTTCTTTTCGGATTTGAACACCGAGACAGCCAGCGTCTTGAGCTCCTCCGCACTCGCTCAACTGTTTCAGGCGGGGGGGGGGGTCGAAAGACAGAAGGGAAATTAAGTCAGGCGCACGCAACCGCAGCCGGTTTCGTTTTAAATCCATTTTTATTAAAAACTGAAAACGTTAAAGCCAAAAAAAAAAAGCAAAACAACCCCAAACGATCCAGTTCAGAAAACGATGCTTCCCGAGTGACTGGTTGTTTTCTCGACTTTGCAAAACCCCGTGAATTCAGAGCTACATCGGGCACTTTTGGACAAATGCAACGCCTTTTTTCGCGCTGAACACTGTGTGTCGCCGTCTTATCGAATCGCACCGGCTTTGAAGAACTGAAAGGCCTGCTTATCTGCTGGGCCGAAGGCGATCAGATCTTTGGTTGACTCTCTCAGGGCGTTTAAGCGACTCCTTACAATAAAAAAAAAATGACAATTTCGCAACAGGTAGGTAAAAAAAACAACACATTTCTTGCACCAAAGGTATAAAACTAGACTTGTCAAACCCGAGGTTTGATTCCATTTGAAAGTTAATTAACTGGGTCAACATTGTGCTGAATTTGACACTGATTTTAGATCTTTCGTTGGAGAAGAGGCATCCCTTAAATTATTAGATTTGATATTGACGCCCGCTCAACATGTTGCACAGGGCTGTTGCTTTAACCAATTAAGTAAAGTGGGTAAAAACTAGAACTGAGATTTGACATGCCCGGTTTCAACCAGGAGTGGGACAAGTTTTACATGAAGCTCAGCGAACTGCCCTGACCTCTGAGCAGAGCACCGGCCGGCCGGCTCAGGAGCTCTCGACTTAAAAAGGAATGAACACAAGAGAGAGAGAGAGAGGATGAGGGCAGAATTAACGTCTACCATGTTCGCGAGAAGCCAACGGGAACGAGAGTTTTTAAATATACATTAAAAAAAAAACCCCAAAAAAACATCTTTAAGGACGAGCAGGCGGGTGCCACTATCCTTCCCGTTCCGAGCCGCAGGAGAACGGAAAAAACAAAAGAGCGGTCCGCCTCAACACAAGGGGGCGATAGTGCGTCGCGTGTGCATCAGGGAACGACGATCTCGGCGCGGTAAATATAAACCTGAAACGAGAGCAGATCAAATTCAAATCAACCGGGGTTTTGCTGCCGTTGTTGTTGTTTTTTTTGTGTGGTAGATGTTGCCAAGACAGTGCGCGTCTTCGACAAAGAAAAAAAGCGCGGCGTTTTTTTTTGTTGTTGACATTGAACAATTTAAATTGGATTCGTTTTGGAAATTGAACCATGGCACGACGATGATTCGACTCAAGGAAGCCACGCGGGGGGGGGTTATTTTAAGTCGAGCTTCTTTGCGTTTGGCCACCAGACGTCGGCAAAGAGATGCCGCACTTACACGGCGCAAAAAAAAATAAAAGAGCCCATATTGTAAATTCAGATCTGGAATAAAGCGAGACCTGTTGAGTGAAGTGTAATGAACGCTTTCGTCCCCCAAGGAAAAGGCCACTGGTGCAACCTCAGAGCAGGACTCCCCGCCGTTTTATAAGGCCCGGAGCAAGAAGTTTAAAACCATCCCATTAAGAAAACTTGCTTTTTTTGGATTCGGTTGATACACTTTAAGATTTAGACCTTATATTTTAAAAAAACTGACTATTAATTAAGCAATTAATTCTGAGGGGTGACGAGGTTTTAAAAGGCAGGCACTGTAGTTCGGCCCGTGTTTAAATATTTACAACTAGGCGTCTTTGGGCCTCCACAGGCCGATGAAGACTTTCGGGTGCCCTGACACCTTGCAGGGCTTTTTTCCCAGAGCTCTGCCAAAGCCCGACCTACGGCGATCTCTGCGATGGCTCGCTCACAAAGGCACCTGATTGCTTTCTCTAGGGACGTAGCTTTTGGAGAGGCATGACTTGGCTTTGCTGGCACACGCGATCGGTAGCGAACCCCCACCCCCCTCTCGCCCACAATCCCCCCCCCTCCAACCCAACCCCACACCCGCCCGGACCCAGCCCGGGCGTGGACCTCTTCTCACCTTGTCTGGACGCGTGTGTGCGCGCGTGTGGTTAGTAAGCGTAGCGTGGCGGTGGGGGCGGGGGCGGCGCCCGGTCTGCGTAGGGGTCCCTGGCTCTGGGCAGGCCGTACGCGGGGTTCCTGGGCACCGACGACGACACCGGGGAGAGGCGGGAGCGCTCGTACGCGTAGCCGTTCCCCGCGGGGGCCGCCGAGGCCGGGCCCGGCCGCCGGAGGGGGCTGCGGTCCCGCGGGTAGTACGAGGAGCCCGAGCCCGGGCCCCCGGAGTTGGGGGGAGGCGGCGGCGGTGGAGGGAGCGGGCGGCGCTCGTAGAGACCTGGGGCGGAGGAGGGCAAGCGCTCCCTCATTATGCCCGAGGAAGCGGGAGGGGGCGGAGGTGGGGGGATGGAGCCTAGGCGCCGCTCCTCGTAAGAGGTGATGCCGTAAGGGCGGGCCCGGTACTTTTCGTAGTAGTCCACCACCCCGTACCGCTCTCGCTCGTAGGCCGAGGCGCGGTCTGGGTAGGGCACCCTTCTCGGGGGAGGGGGTGGAGGAGGAGGAGGAGGAGGCGGGGGCGGAGGGTACGTGTGGCCGTAGGAAGCAGGCGGGTGATTGAATCGGCCTCCGTAGAAGCCAGACGGGCCAGGGTCAGGCCTTTGGTCGGGCCATTTGGGGCCCCAGAACCCTGGCCTCCCTGGCGGCCCCTGCTGGTACTGTCCATCTTCCTCCTCCCCAGTTCGCTGGCGACTCGTAGAGATTTGCACGTGAATCCGTTTGCCTTTAAAAGAAACAGGAGTCAATGCCGGGCGCCCACTGAACCCCCCCGACCACTTCTGATCTTTCAAGAAACCCGTATTCTTAAGCTTGGACACGCCCAATTCGTTTCAACGCAATATCCTTCGCCCTGGTGGCGTCCCCTAGCTGACAGAGTTAAGCTAACAGGTTTGGACAAGACCTCTGCGAGCACGCGGCTAACCCATCTGCGCAGGAACGTGAGCAGGAAAATTCAGACCGCCGAACTTAGTTAACATCGATTGCCCGCTCTCCAGCCCCTTTGCGAGATTGACCAGCGTGCCGCTCCAAACCAAACCGTCACGTTTTCCAGCTCGGCAAGCTCGGCGTTCCTTCGCCGCCTCTCTAAGAAACCAGTGTCTTCAAAGAACCGTCAGCTCACCTGCTGACGTGGATCAACGCACCCAGCAACATTCACACTGACTTCAGTGCGGTCCAAAAAGAGCTCATACCTCTTAACCAGGCACCTGCAGCGAATGATCCCAGCTACCTCTCCACCAAGGGGAGTTCATGGCTCCCAACTGCCTTTGTTCCATTATATCTCTACATGGGTAGTCAATACCACCACTGGTTCTGGTCCCTTAGGCAACGGCTATGACCGTATGGCATCCAGCATCACGGTCGGCTCTCGCCAGGCACGCCTAAGCCCAAGACAGACAACAGAGGATGACGCGCCCGCGCCCTACCCAGGAAGTCGATGTTGTCCAGCGCCTTGATGGCGTCCGTGGCCTCCTCGGAGTTGGCCATGTGCACGAAGGCGTAGTTCTTCACCACGTCGCACTCGGTGACCGTGCCGTACTCCTCGAAGAGGGCGCGCAGCTCCTGGCTGGTGCAGGCCTTGTCGATGTTGGCCACGTGCAGCTTGGTGGGGCCCTGGTTCTTGCCGTGGCTGGCCTCCACGTTGATGGGCAGGCCGTGCAGCTTGTAGAGGTGCAGGCTGCGGATGGCCTTGGTGGCGGCCTTGCGGTCCTCCATGTGCACGAAGGCGTAGTTCTTGATGATGGCGCACTCCGTGACCGTGCCATACTGGGAGAACAGGGCCTGGAGCTCGTCCGTCGTCGCCTCCGAGGGCAGGTTCCCCACGAAGACCTTCACCATCTTTCAGTGCCTCGCTACACAAAAGGAGAGAGCAAATTTGCACAAGTGAGCACCACTCGTGCCCCCCCCCCAAGACATTCCCTCCTCCTCCACCTCCACGGCCGGCACTTTCACTCACAAGCTAGGAAAAGCTTTCGGCAGGTG